AATGTGCCCTTAGAAGCTCAAGAAAGTATCGTTTGCATAACAGTGAGAAATATTGTTAGGAACTGAAAGGGAAATGGGTACTAGTAAAACAAGACAGTCAAAAGAATACCTGCCAGTAGATACTCTTTGCCAACGTCAATGAGGAGACCGCATGCAGGTGGTTCCGATGGCGTATAAATTTCACCTGGTAACGTTTTGAGGTCGGACGGCTTCTGTAATACACTTGATTGATTCAACCCAGTTTGGAGAGAACTTCTTCACAAATCACAACTATGCAAGGGTTTTGAGAGAGAGGAGCATAGCGGCTTGGATTCATGGTGGCAAAAACCGCTCGATAGTATGAGAATAATTCAAACGTGAAGGTTGCAATATGCAGTGGCGCACTCACCACTTGCGTGGTCCTGCGTGATTCGACTCCCGCCCAGGCCAATCAAGCCTGCTGCCCTCCGGGTCGGTAAATTGGTAACAGAGATTCATCCGGGAGGATAAGAACAAGAAGAACAGAACAAAGAACTGCGAACGGTCGTTAGAACAGAAGCCATTTATTGGGGATGTTCTCTTGAATAACAGCGGTGATTCTTCAGCTAATATATGCGAATAAACCTGACCTTTGAAAGGATGCAATTATTGGAGCAAATCAATCACCTTCGGGTGCTTTTTGCTAACTCTGAATAACGCAGCATATCGGCGGCTTTCGTTGTTCCGGAAAAGCCCAATCAATCTGATGGTAGTCCATCAGTCTACCATGTTTATTACTGCTAACGGAGAATAGGGCTCCGGAGAGCGGGCCTCAGAAACGGCAAACACATCCAAGGAAGGCAGCAGCCGCGAAACTTATCCAGTTTTGAAGAGATAACCAAGTCACTAGGAAATGCCCCGTGTTTGGCTTGCTGCTCCTACAAGAGTAATTTTTCGGGCAAATCGTATGGTAGTCGGAACAGTGAAAGAGAGCGAACTAATAGCGCTTGACGAACTATCAATGTAGATTCGTGGCTAAGAGGCAGCGATGGTTTATTACTCTCTGCGTACATTAAAAATCCTCCTTCCAGCGTAAGACAGACAGACAGACAGACAAGACAGACAGGACAGGACAGACAGCACAGTACAGGAACAGAAGGAACAGACAAGACAGACAACAGACAGACAGACAGACAGACAGACAGACAGACAGACAGACAGACAGACAGACAGACAGACAGACAGACAGACGTTGCCGTTTATATATAGTAGGATAGAGATCATCAAGTACCCTCCCAATGGTAAACAGCTGTGAAACTACTGTATAGTCAATGTGTGTGATCTCGTTAGTATTGGATGATTAGTTTTGATGAACTTTGAAGGGACGGGTGCATTTACCTGAGATTGTGTGTGCATGTAGAATAGTGGGACCAAATAAACAAATAAATAAACAATACTCATTTACGAATTCCTTGATTTGTGACTCCCCCCCCACCCCCCCCCCCCCCCCCCCCCCACCCCCCCCCCCCCCCCCACCCCCCCTGTCCATTCTCACGGGCGATCGAAAAGACTCGCTTTGGCGCTTTTTTTTTTTTTTTTGTTTTTTTTTTTTTTCCCCCAAAAAACAAACAACAAAGAAAAGAACACCCCGTGTCCCACGAACGCGGGAGGCTTTTTCTCCAAAATTGTGCCGGGGGGGCGGGGGCGGGGGGCGGGGCGGGCGGGGGGGGCGGGCGGGGGCCTCGCCCCGCGCCGGGGGGGGGCGGGCGGGGGCGGGGGGGGGCGGGGCGGGCCCCCCCGGCGGGGCGCCGGGGGGGCGGGGCGGCGCGGCCCCCCCCGCAGCCAAAAAAAACAAAATCCTCGCGCAACTCTGATTATTTTTTTTTTTTTTTTTTTAAACCCCCCCCCGCCCCCCCCCCCCCCCCCGTTCACTGCGTTTTTGCCACAGTTGTCGTGTTTGGGAACGCGAATTACGAATTTATTGCCCGCGCACACCAAGCATTTTGGTATTCTCCCTACGGTTATCCCTCACTAACTTCATCTGCCCAACCATTGCTCAGTTTCACTTACTCCCCCTTTCCTGGAGTTTTTCGGATGTGTTTCGAGGGTTTTTGTCCCCGGCACCGTTCACTTTGGCGAACGCCCTGCCTGCATTCGCGGTGGGTGTGCTTCATTCATTCCGTCCGCCAACTGTTTGCCTATCGTTTCCCACAATTTCCGCTCTCCGGGATCTTCTAGAACCGAATTACGAATTTTTGAAAAGTTCTGTAGCGAGCACCGCCCACCTATAGCACGCCCCGCCCATCACGGGTGTGACTCCCTCATTTCAACTGACTGCTTATCGTTTCCCACAATTTCCGCTCTCCGGGATCTTCTAGAACCGAACTACGAATTTTTGAAATATGTAGCTCACAACTGTGCGCACGCCCCGCCCACAGTGGGCGGGGCTTAGCTCAGTTCATGTGTGTTCCGTACATCTTGGCCCATGCCCTACCCAACCCACCCTTGACCCGCCCCCTCCAACTGGCTCTTCAGGTGATTCCGAATTTCCGGACAGACAGACAGACAGACAGACAAACAGACAAACAGACAGACGTTGCCGTTTATATATAGTAGGATACCGAGAAAATAGCAGCAATTCCCCACGCGTACGAAGGAAACAACCAGAGCCTTGGAGGACTGAACATTAACAGCTAACAATTTACAATTTTTTTGACCCGTCACAGCAATCGGTCACCTGCCGTGCAATTGCTCGTTCGTCGGTTCTCTGCAGCAAGACTGCACGAAAAACATATTGCCCGTTACACGATACGTTACACTGGACAGACGCAGTCGTGGTAAGATCGCTTTGGCACCGGGTAGTCCTCACAAAGCCTATTTATGACCCGCTCTTAGGTGTAAACATCTATTCCATCTGAGCATTCTAAGCTTTTCTGCCGTTATGCACGGATTCGTCCATTTATTCTTTCCCTCAGACAAACCTTCAGAAGTCTCAGTCTTCTTCTCCTCTGCCACTGAAATCGATTTCTGCACAACTGAGGCTTTCATTCGTTAGTGCTTTCTTCAGGATTTGACTCTGACATGTGGCACTTAAATTGATGTCCACTTTCTCTGTTATGAATATTGGATCACATGAACATTGCACAAGGTTTGCATGTATTCCAGGAGACCAGTTATTTGAGTTCTCGCCTCGTCTTTCAAGAGTTTTATGGACACTTATTATCCCTGCAAATGAGAGGGCGTAAGAAGGCGCGTGGAGCACTTTCAGAGCAGCCTTTCTCATCAATCGTTGCGGGATCAGAACGGCGCAGTTGGTAGAAAAGGCGGCCTCACTATGCTCCAATCTACGCCCACATTGGAGAGGAGGAACTTGTAGGGTTAATGAATGTGAATGCGGACATTGCCGATTTTTGAAAAGTGGATATTCGTACCCACACAGTTCCTCCACTTCATGTTCATACCGACTAGCTCCAGTTTTTTATCTATTATTAGGTTGGCTAATAAGTAATGGCCGTTTTTTTCAATTGAAAAATTTGTTCGAAAAGTGAAACGTTTTGCAAGCAAGTTATATATCATCTGATAGGAAACTTCTCGTAGTATAAGAATATCAAAAAAGCTTTGGTTGAGGATATAGTTTTTGTGAATTTTTTAGTCGTTGAAGTTGGAAGTGAAGTCGGCGAAAATTAGCATCTTCGACAACTGCCTCTATTTAGAAATTTCATGCTAATAGTTGAATTAATTGAATTTGAATTTGATATTCTAATACTACGAGAAGTTTGCTATTGAACGATGTTAAGCTTGCTTGCAAAACTTTTCACTTTTGAAACAAATTTTTCAATTGAAAAAAACGGCCATTACTTATTAGCCAGCCCACTAGCAGTTATTAGCCAGCCCACTAGCAGGGGGGTTTTTTTTTTTTGTTTTTTTTTTTTCTGGCTAATAAGTAATGGCCGTTTTTTTCAATCGAAAAATTTGTTCCAAAAGTAAAACGTTTTGCAAGCAAGCTTAATATCGTTTAATAGCAAACTTCTCGTAGTATTAGAATATCAAATTCAAATTCAATTAATTCAACTATTAGCATGAAATTTCAGGTGGAACAGACGTGAGCCTGCCCAATATTGGCAAGGTGAAGGTTGCCAACTTTGAAATTCTTGAAATTAGTTCCAAAGCGTCCTATTGAGATTCCCTTGCTGAGACTTCTACCTCAACTTTTCGAATGTATAATGGAGCAGCTTAAGCGATTTTAGCACTTCGAGTAGACGTAAATAGAGGCAGTTGTCGAAGATGCTAATTTTCGCCGACTTCACTTTCAACTTCAACGACTAAAAAAATTCACAAAAACTATATCCTCAACCAAAGCTTTTTTGATATTCTTATACTACGAGAAGTTTCCTATCAGATGATATATAACTTGCTTGCAAAACATTTCACTTTTCGAACAAATTTTTCAATTTGAAAAAACGGCCATTACTTATTAGCCAACCTAATAACTGTTGATGATATCGAAAAAAAAATCAATCTTTCCGTTATAACTTTTTAGTTCGTCAGTTGGCTGTTCTTTTCCGTGTCGCTTCTAATATCGTCAAAGTGATAATCGACGAGACAGAGCCGTTATGCATGAAGGGGAACAGTGATTTTATCGTAATTGATGCGATATACTCTCCTTATCCCTGAGACGGGGTAGGTGTGGCATGTGATCATGGCATAGAGTGGGTCGGGAATATTCGAGTTGAGACTTCTGCCACCTTGTTCAGTGCTGGAAAGAGACATGACCTCAATTGTGTCAAAATGAAAATATCTCTTTAAAAGCACAGCCACCGCCATGTTTATTTGGAAGTACGCGGCCACGCCCACCACATCACAAGGATCTCGAGTGTATCTCGACATAATGCACTGTTATATACCATGCGTCTAAAAGTGGGAGTGATGAAGTTCAGTGATCGCCTCGTTTTCTCAACCTTTCATTCGCCGCACCGGGTCCTCGCGAGCTGTTCGTACCCTCCCTCCGTGCTCCTGGACTCTTAAGAAGTTTAACAAACCTTCGTGGATAAAAGTGTGACTCACACCCCTGGACACCTGCACAAGCCTCCTGCGCGCCGTAACGGATTGGCTTCTTCCCCACCACAAGTCTACATGGGGACCGACATGGGGATCGCGGCGGGTACGTGACAAGAGAATCGTAATTCGCCGCGATGGTAGGCGTCGCGTGCGACATCGCGACTGCAAATGACGATGGTTCCAGGACGTAGATGGCGACAACAGGCAATGTAGAG